GTAGCACTGTTTCGAGACTCTCCAGTTCCAGGACGGAGAGGCACAGTGCACGTGCGTGGGTCACACAGTACATCACAGCTGTATCATGGGTTCTGGTCAAAAGCGCTGGCCAGTGTGGCCACAACGTAATCTCCAGCCCAGCCGGCACCAGCAGGCGTGCTGCTCTCTCCCCAGGTGTGCTGAGTGCAAGACCGTCTTCCACCAGAGCTGCCAGGCTGTGGTGAAGAAGGGCTGCCCCCGATGTGCCCGCCGGCGCAAGTACCAGGAACAAAACGTTTTCACCTGATGCCCATCTGCAGACCCTGCTCTGAAGGCCGGGGGTGAGTGCGGCTCAGCCATCCCAGCTGGTTTTGCCATCAGCTCAGGATACTCACCATGTCACAGCTGTGTCCCCTTGTCAGGAAGACCCTCAGATGTGACCAGAGCACCGGCCTCCCAGAGAAAGCCCAGGAAACCCCCGTGATGTGCCCTGGCCCTCCCACCACCCCTCTGCTGCAGGAGGCGAGGACACCACCAGATGCTCCCTGTCTCGGGGGAGACGGGCCTTTTACTTACCAGGCCCTGGCTCACCAGTGTCCCGGCGCCTCCGTTAGGGCCGCTTACACACTGTGGAATGGAGACTTGGGAGCATTTTCAATTCCACATTTCTGATTTAAAAGGTCTAGTTTTTTAAGGTGGGTTTTTCCCATCCATATTTCAATAGAAAGTATTTTTTTATTCTTGACCCTACACGAGTCACCCAAGAAATCCAGACATTCTCACTCCCAGCGGATGCACAGGAGCCACTCAGGCCTGGCCCGGAGGCAGTGGGTGGCTGGCGGGCAGGCCACTGCTGGGACAGGGCCTGTGGGCCCACCCGGTGCCTTTCCTTAGCCCTCACTGCCAGTGCCAAACATCTTGTTGGCAGGGCAGGGCCAGTCCTGGTAACCCAGCTTCTCTTCTGTCTCCTCTTTACTCCCCACCCCACTGCGTCTTGCCTTCTGAGCCCATCCCTTTCTCAGCGTGGGAGCCCCTAGCTCTTCTCTAGCCTGGGGCCTTGGCCCCATTAGGAGAAGGAGAAATGACTGAAACCAGCACTGTCAGCACTTTGAGCCCTCCTGGGTTTAGGGAGGATGCCGCCTTGCCCACCCCCGATCCCCGTGCCGTCCTCACCCCTCTACAGACAAGGGCGCTGCCGCAGATGCTCCAGGCCCACCTTGGTGGGCGCTCAGGGTCACACTCTCTGCCTGACTGACCCCTGCCAGAACACAAATAGGCAGGACCCCAGAGATGTCAGGTAGCCGGGCCCTGCACTGTGAAGTGACCCGGTCCATCGCCCTAAGCTGTTCAGGGCATGTGGGGAGCTGCCCTGCGGATGCAGCCTCGGCCTCACAAAGCCATGAATTCCCAAAGCATCACTGAACTTGCCCAGCCAGGACACTGGAGACAGCACTTCCTGGAGCAGGATTGCCTTTGAAGGCGCCTTGGGGCTGGGGTGGGAGCCTGGAATTGTTTGCAAAGTGATGTTCAGACCCTCCAGGTTTCAGAGAAATGTGGGTTTGCTGATCTGTCACCTTCCCTCACGTCTCCTGGACCCAGCAGGCCCCAGCAGGCCCTCGTCTGGCTGTCTTGCCTGTGCTCAGCTTGGAGTCTGAGGCCTCAGGTGGAGATCCACCTGTCACTGTCAGAGATGAGCCCACGCCCACCCCTCCTTGGGGGCGATCAGCTGCTGAGTCACCCACCCAGCCTTGGAGCTAGATGCCTGTGCAGCAGAACAGAGGCAGTGGTGGCAGGCAGGTGGAGGCTGCACACAACTTCTCCCGGTCATGGCGCGCACCTGTGCCCAGACACCAACGCCTCCTAAGCTGGGAGCTGGGTTATGCACCCGCCATGGCCCACATAATGCTCCAACACAAGCCCGGCCTGATCAGAGCCCTCACTGCCCCATCCCTGAGTGGGCAGGAGCCTGACGTGGGAGGGCTTGGGCCTGTGCAGATTCTTCCCGAAGGTGCCCTCAGAGGCAGCAGGGATGAGGCCCTGGGGGGCCGGTTCCCCAGAAGAGGCCAGTGCTTTCAGATGCGCTGACTCTTCCCCCCTGCAAAAGGTAGTGCCCACACTATTTTTAAAATGTTATTTTATGCAATACACTGTTCATAGTGAGTAGGGCTCTGGCCCTGAGGAGTCTTTGCAATGTGTTGAAGGAATTACTGCCGTGTGAGTTTTGAATGATTTTGCAGTAAAGGCCTGATCTTTCTCATCACTGGTCTGACTTCTGAATTCTAACACTGCCACTTCCTGGGGGAAGACCACCAGCCATGCATTACTATCTGACAGGGCCCCCCACCCTCCTGTTAGTCAGTCCCTGGCACAGGGGAGGGCTTGGGAGGTCGGTGGCAAACAGTTGTAGGCAGAGAGCTTGCATGCCAGGAGTGGGCAGGGAGAGTGAGAAAGCCACCTTGCCACGCCCAGCAGTTGGGGTCTCCCTGGGGTAGGAACTCAGGATCTCTGGGAGGTGGACTCACACTTATATAACGACTCAAGCAGATCCCACACTGGTGGCTTCTTTTCCTGTGACTTAAATGTCAAAGCACAGACCCTTGACACTGGATCATGTGAAACCTCAGGAATACAGGGGACATTTCTCAGCGGAGAAATAAAGGAGAGAGAGGGCTCGGGAAGGACTGGTTATCTAAGCAGAGCCACCAATTCAGGGGTCATAGTTTTAGGGCTCAAAATGACTTACTTGGCTGCTGATCTTCCTCAGAAGTTCCAGGAGAAGCCCAGAGGACCCCTCCTAGGGGAGGCCCACACCACTGTCCATTGTAAGAACAGGAGCAGGAAACAGACTAATTCTCAGGGAAATCAGGTTGCAGTGAAATGGGGTAGAAACAGACAACATTCAGGTTTGTAATTTCCTGTCCTTGAAGGCCCCTTTCAGCAGATAGGGTAGCACCCTCTGCCCTAGCTTCCCCCAAGGGCCTCACCTCCCTCCAGTACAGTAGATGGTAGGCCCAGAGAAGAGAAGAGAAACTTGGGGAGGAGGCCCAGTGGAGGACCACAGCACAACCTGGTGCTGCCCTGCCGGCAGCTCAGCCCCTCTCCATCCTCAGCAAAGCGCTTCTATTGTTTCCCCTTCTCCCCTACCTCTTTTTTTTTTTTTTTTTTTTTGAGACAGAGTCTCACTCTGTTGCCCAGGCTGGAGTGCAGTGGCATGATCTCAGCTCGTTGCAGCCTCTGCCTCCTAGGTTCAATCCTCCTGCCTCAGCCTTCTGAGTACCTGGGACTTCCACTTCTTTTCTGCCTGAAGGAGGACAGGCGTTTTGGAAATACCAATCCAACCCCTAAGAGCTCATCACATAATATAAGCAGTTATAATAGCTGATATAGCTGGGCGCAGTGGCTCACGCCTGTATCCCAGCATTTTGGGAGTTGGAGGCGGTCGGATCACCTGAGGTCAGGAGTTCAAGACCAGCCTGGCCAACATGGTGAAACCCTGTCTCTACAAAAATACAAAAATTAGTGCAGTAGTTCTTTTAGAATTTGTCTAGCAGGCTTTCCGGTTTTTGCCAGAAACCCGTCCCCCCCCCCCCACAAAAAAAATCAAATAATTTTTAAAAAACCAAAAATACAAAAATTAGCTGGGCATGATGGCTGGTACCCAGGAAGCTGAGGCAGGAGAATCACTTGAACCCAGAGGCGGAGGTCGCAGTGAGCCGTTGTTGCACCACTGCCCTCTCGTCTGGGCAACAGTGACTGTGTTCCCAAAAAAAAAAAAAAAAAAGCTGATATATTGTGTGCACTGGGGCATGTGGTAAGCACTGCTTAGTGGACCTCATTTAATCTTCCAGTGAAGTGAGTGGAAAGAAGATTCCTCCAGTAACTTATTTTCTAAGCATGTCGGGCACCAAAGACCAATGCTGAGTTCCTGGAGGATCCCCAGATGCCACCAGGCCTCAGACAAACTGAGATTCTCAGAGGAAGTGTGGACTCACGGGTGGGCAATGCCTAGCAGGGGCAAAGATGCAGGAGTAAGGGAGTTCCAGAAGGAGCATAGCCAGATTCAGCTTCCCAACCAACCCTGGACCCCCAGGAGGTGGTGTCAAGAGGGGCCATGGCCTGGGGTGCAGCCCATCTTCCTCCCAGAACACGGGCCTGACTCAGACAGCTCTCAGCACACACAGCTAGGTCCACAGGCACAACTTCATCCTTGGGGCCCCTGAGGGTAGGGGGTCTGCTGGGGCTGGGGCTTGTGATATCTGGAGTGAGTGCAGGGTCAGGGCAGAGGGGCCAGGCTGCCTGTCCAGAGAGGCAGATAAGTTCCAAACAGAAGACCCCAAGGCAGACGGCCCTGGGGCTGGATTCTGAGCTTACCCTGAGGACGGATTGGAGGGTGGCCCTCCTTCCCGACGAGGATCAAGAGGGGGTGGGGGATGGTGGGAGGGCAATCTGGCCAGAAGAAGCTTTGGGGCTGGCTCCCGCCCTCCCCAGTCCCACCATCTCAGCCCTGTGGCCTCCTCCTCCCTGGAGACAGCCAGGTGTGGCCCAGGATCCCGGGAAGTGCAGGGGAGGGGGTGGCGTCTTCGCTTCTTAGGCGCCGGCCCGGCCCAGAGGGGACAGGAAGCCAGGACACCGGGGATTGTCTCTCGCAACCTCAGCCCAGCCCCAGTCCGGGAGGAAGTTCTGCTGGGCGCTCTCCGCCGGTGCCTCCCTGGTGATATTGTTGAACAGGAAACCGGGTAGCGCGGGAGCCGCGCGGTCTAGGAGGGAGCGCGGGACGGCGATCCCACGCGCGCCTGCCGGGACAAGTGGAGGCGACGCTGGTGAGCAGACGCCCCGAGGTGCCCGGGCAGGCAGGGTCGGGAGTGGGGAGCCGAGCGGGGGTTGGGGTGGGAGGTGGGGTGAGGGTGGGGAAAGGGGCAGGGTGGGGGAGGGAAGGGTGCGGCAGGTGGCGGGTCCGCACCCGGGAGCTCGGCGCGCCTGCTCCCCTTGTTTCCGCGCTGGGGCGGGAGCTGCGCGGGCCGCATCCCACGGGGAGGAGAAGGTAGGCGAAGGGCTGCCCTCTATCTGGGGGCGGGAAGCGAGCAGGCCCAGGCCCTCAGCGCCGGCCCAGGCCCTCAGCGCCGACCCAGGCGTTGACGCCCCTGTAGCTTGCGTCGCCTGGGCAGTGGACGCAAGGGACCTGGCGACGGGTGCGTTCTCGCGATCCAGTGCTCCTCCAGGCTCCCCGAATCCTTCCCCTTCTCTGTGTTTCCCCAGGGTCGGGGAAGGAGCAAGGCCCAGTCCCCTTCTTATCTAGCCTAAGACGCTGCGCTCCGGTGGTCGTCCCTGCGTGGGAATCCCGCTCGGAGTTTTTCCAGGCCGGGCCGGGCTGCGCCCGGAAAGGCCCTGGTGAGGGAGAAGGTGGGCCCGGAGCGGGCGGGTCTGCAATCCAGTTGGAAGGGCTCTCAGTAGGTGATTCCGGGTGCAAATTACCTCCCCGAGAACGGGAACGCCCGGACGAGTCAACCAGCCCCAGCCCGGCATTCCCAGACTCGCGCGCCGGAGGGACGCGTGGACAGCAAATCGCCGGGGGGGTTGGGGGAAGGCGGGGCAGGGGCGGCCCCACTCTCCATGGCTTCCGCTCGTGACCGGCCAGCGCAGCTTCAGTCGCAGCCCACCTGGCCTTCTGCTCCGGGCCTTGTCCCAATGCCCCCCAAGGTCCCCAGCAGAGGCATTCAGGCTCCTCCTTGCCCTGCCCAGACACAGCTGCTTTGGGTATCGGTGACTGCACGCCTGAGCGTCCCTGTCCCTCTTCGCTCCCTTTGCCAGCTCCGGTTCCGCGCAGCATCTCCGGCCTCGCCCCTGGAAGCCCCGCCCACGGCAATGGTAGGGGCCTAACCTGCCGCCACCACCGGCTCCTCCCACCCAGCCCATGGGCTCCCTGAGGCCCCCACAGCCGACGTGAGTGCGCCGCGGGGTCCAGGGGGAAAGGGCGCCGGGGGAGTGTCCTCCTTGGGGTTTGTTGGCCCACCTCTGGGCAGCTCGATGGCCCCGCCTCCGGGGTCCGGTGTGCTTAGTGACTCAGTTTACACCCTTTCCTCGTCGAGGAACGCTTGAGAAAGTGGCGAAGGAGGAGCCCTGTGGGGACCACCGTTGGACACTGCTCCTTCGGTCCCTCAGCCTCGGCAAGCGGTGGTCTCCGGTCCCCTGGCCCGGGCCACTTTAGGGGGAAGGAGGAGGTGTGGTCAGTGTGGGAGTTTGGCGGGCCCAGGCACCGACTCGTGGCTTTGGTGGAGGGGCGCAGGCCCATTTACTTAGGCCCTTCCTCATCCCTAACACACCGGAGCCGGGGCGGGAGCGGGGCTTGTGACCACTCGGGAGAGCTTTGAGGGCCCCTGCTCTGGGACTCCGCACGGATAGTCACTGTCTCAGAGTGCATTCTCCAGGGGCCACTCTCGTGGGGACACTATAGAGGTCACAGGGCAGGTGGGCAGGCCGCAAGGGCGGGGCCTTTCTTGGAGGCGGCCTGAGAGCAGGAGAGCAGGGGGCGGTGCGGGCCGGGCTGGGCGGGCCGGGCTCCGGCTCAAGTCTGCGGTGAAGCCGCTGGGTAAGGAAAGAGAAACCCAGAGAACCGGTTACCCCGCCTTGGCAGCGGAGGCCCCTACACCAAGGCCCTTGGACTAAGCGGGGCAGGGACAGCCCCCAGACAGAGTTGTTGGCCCGGCCGCCTGCAGAGCCCGCATCCCAACCCTGACCTGGGGCGGGAGCGCAGGCTCCTGGAGGGAGGCGGTGCCACCGGACCCTTTGCGGATTCTCTGCGGGCGGGAGGCCTCCAGGCAGGACAGGCCCGGGAAGCGGCAGGATTGTCTTCCCACTTGACTGACGGGAAAACTAAGGCTCAGTCAACTATTAATAAGCAAGCGTGGTGTCGGCCTTAGAGAGGACAATCACCCCTCGTTTTAAAGCCAAGGCTTCTCTTACAGTCTATTTGGACCAAGACTAGCCATAATCTCCCACCGCAGGTCTGAAGCGAGGCTCAAATCTTATAAATAACCCCACGGAACGAAGGGGTTGTCCTAATTCCAGCACTGAGTTTAAGAATGGATGCCTTAGATGCGAGTGTAAGAATAGAAGCCTTAGATGTGATTTTATGCAAGTCCCCATTTTAGAGATGGGAAAACTGAGGCCCGAAGGCGAACGGCGAGTGCAGGATCGGGACTCAAACCCAAGTCTGTCCTCGAGTTCCGGGCTATTCCGGGCTCGGTGGTCTTGACCTCCGCGGCCCTCCTCCTTGTTGCCCACAGGAAAACGCCGGGGCCGCGATGGCGGCGGACGTGGAGGGGGACGTGTACGTGCTGGTGGAGCACCCCTTCGAGTACACCGGCAAGGACGGGCGCCGCGTGGCCATCCGGCCCAATGAGCGCTACCGGCTGCTGCGGCGCAGCACCGAGCACTGGTGGCACGTGCGGCGCGAGCCCGGTGGCCGCCCCTTCTACCTGCCCGCACAGTACGTCCGCGAGCTGCCCGCGCTGGGCAACCCTGCCGTCGCCCCGCCTCCAGGTCCCTACCCGGGCCCCGCTGCCCCCGAGCCGCTGGCCTATGACTACCGGTTCTTGAGCGCGGCGGGGGCCGGGGACCCCAACGGCGCCCCAGCGGAGCCCCGAGGCCGCGCCAGCTCCCTGTGCGGCCCTGCGCAACGCTGCACTGCGACCCAGCGCAGCAGCCTGGCGCCGGGCCTGCCAGCCTGCCTGTACCTGCGGCCCGCAGCGCCCGTGCGGCCCGCGCAGTCCCTGGACGACCTGGCGCGCACAGCCGTCTCGCCTCCTGCCGGCCTCCTTGGAAGCAGCGGCAGCTTCAAGGCCTGCAGCGTGGCGGGCTCCTGGGTGTGCCCGCGGCCCCTGGCGCGCAGCGACTCAGAGAACATCTACGAGGCCATCCAGGACGTGCGCGGCCCGCCGCGGGAGAAGAGCGCGGAGCAGGTACGACCCCCGGGGCGCAGAGGCGGGGAGGCGAGCTGGGGACCACGTCAGCACGGAGCAGGGAAACCAGGAGACCCGCTCCGCTCAGCGTCGGGCACGACGCCCACCTCTGTCCGAAGACTTCGGATGAGCTTCTCTCCCCAACAGGGAAACGGGAGCGGTGGAGACCCCCAGTCCCTCATGTGCTATTCCTAGTCTCCAAAGCTCCCTGGAAATCCAAAGGTTTTGCGCTTGAACTGATGTGAGGCTGTTAATGGTCTTTATTTATCGCGCTTGTGTGAATATTCAGGTTTTGCTGCAGAAATGCAAATGAGCTCGATGGTCGGCTGCTGCCCCAAGCCCTGCTGGGAGGTTATGTAACCTACAGCAGGTGTGTGCCCAATATTATCTTTCCAAATCCCAGCTGTTCCGTATTCAGAAGCGCATCTGGGCACGGAAGGGGGGTATCGCGGGCCTACAGCCTGCTCAACCGCCTTGCCTGTCTCCCTGGGGTCAGATGAGAGGGTGGATGTGAAAGTCAGGCGTCTGCTTCTCTCTGAGGGTGCTTCCAGCATTTTAGTTCCTTTTTTAAAAGAACTCTTGATGGGTTTGTTTCAGAAAGAAATCCGGTTATGGTGAGGTTGTTTATTCCCCTCTTCAGAATCCAGTTGTGTTAATCTGGGAAATCGAAAATAGAGCACGTTTAAAAACACCCTTACATTCTCAGAACACTCTGGGCGACCCTGACATTTTGAACTTTAGGAGCTTTAAAGGGAGGGGCACCCCGAGGGGGGGAAAAGTGTGCTCAGAACCGTTCTTCCATCTGCCACTGGTTGTGTGACGATCTAGGGCCGGTTCTCTTCCTCTCTCAGGGTCTCGGTTTGTTCTTTAGCCTAAAGGGAGGGAGTGGACGGATGACCTCTGAACCTTGGGAGCCCCTGATTTATTTCGCTGTACTTGATGTCGTTACCACGAACATTGATGCCTATCATGTGCCAGGACTGAGTCCGGAATGCCCAGACGAAGGAGGCACGTCCCCGTAGGCCCGCTGCTGGGTCTTCCATCCGCCCATCTCGTTACAATGCAGAGCTCAGGTTTTGAGGCTAGGGAAAGGCGAACTGGACTCTGCTGGGTCACCTGCCAGCTGCTGACAGCCACTTAGCTTACACCCGAGGACGCTCCCCCAGGCCCAGCGTCCTCGGGTGTAAGCACAATACCTAAGGATTAGCGCTGTAAGCCTTGTAAGCGTCGTAAGCGTTGTAAACGAGGTAAGGCTTCGAAGCGCTCGGCAGAAGCCGGGGGTCCACCCAGACGGTCTGGGTCGTCCTGGATCGGCTTCCGTGGGTCTGCGCCGCCTTCACTCGGGCTCCTGCAGCGGCAGCCCGCCGCCTTGTGGCCAGGGTGGAGAACGGCACCCGGCGGGCGGGGCTGGGGACCGCGGCAGGTTCCTGTCTTCTGTCTTACGCCCCTGCCAGCGGGTCAGGCAGATTCTCTGAGATGGGTGGCTGGATGCCAGCGCTCTTCCTTCCCGGCGTCCCTCCGTTTCCTGCGCAGCTCTCGGTGGCGCACCTCCGGGCCTCTCCACATTCTCTGTCCTGGTGACGGTGGGAGGGTGCCTGCCCGTCTGAGCGGAGCCCCTGAAGGTGTGGGAATAGCCTCGCCCTTTGAACCTCGCATCTGGCCCAGGGTCTGGCTCAGAGTGCACAGAGAGTGTGTGTTGGGGAGGGCAGAGGAGCGGCCTTTACCTATGAGCCCTTTACCTATGAGCCAGGGTTCTTTAGGTCTGCCCAAGGGCCACCACCCCAGGGCCCAGAACCAAAAAGGAAGGAGACTGCCCAGGTCCTGACATCTCCTGAGAAGACAGATGACCCCCACAGCCAGGGCGCCTGCCAGGTGGCCCATCTGCCCATCCTTCCTCCAGCTCCCAGCAGGTTCCCAGTTGCAGGGGCATATGGGGGGAGGGGCACAGATGATGGGGGCAGGGGACTTACCCAGCTAGGAACTAGGACATTGGCCAGAGACAGGCTGCTCCCTGGCCTCACTCGTGGCCCTAATTCGCTGTTACCTCCACAAGTCACTTTGCAACTCCAGTCCTGTTTCCTTCCCTGTGCCATGGGTGCAATAATACCACCTTCCCTGCCATGGTGCTTTATTCAAGAGGCAGCTGTGGGTCTCCCTGGCGCTCCACCCCCAACAAAGTCCAGGGTAGGGAGTTGGTCCTGCCCCCGCCAAGGGAACCCCACCCCTGCTCTTAGTTCTCCCAGCAGGCATTTTCCCACCGTGATCCTCCAGGACCTTTCACTCATTCATTCGGCATGAACTAACTGAATACCTGCCAAGCCCTGGTGAGCCTCCAGATCTAGAGAGGACTGAGGCACAGCCATGGTCCTGCGGGATTCGCCCCTCTTGGATAGGAGGCCAGCAAGAGAAGACCTGAGGCTGGGGCTCAGGAGTGGAGTGTGCCCCACCTGGGCAGGGCCTCCTGGGCCCTTGCAGGAATATGCACGTTATCCTGCAGCCACTCTAAGGCTTTCAGTAGAGACAGGAGTGGGACTGAGAAAAAAATCCCTATGGCCAGGGCTTCAAAAATGGCCAAAGCTCTTGGTGGTCTTGTGGGCATGTGGCAGTGACAGGAGGTTTGGGAGGTAGATGGGCAGGGTCAGGGGCTGAGGGAGCTGGGAGGGAACTCAGGCTGGGTTCTAGATTCCCAGCTGGCACTCGTGGGCAGACCGTGGTGCTGCTTATTGAGGGGGCGACTTAGGGAGGATTGGGGTGGGGAAAAGATGGGACCCGCCTGGATTTAGATGCCAGGCAAAGGGAAGAGAAGCATCGAAGTGCTGGCTCAGAGGCCAAGAAGTGTCTAGAAGGATGCACAGGAAGTCATGTGAGAGAAAGGCCATCTAACAGTTACCCAGGTGGCCGCCAGAGGCTCAGCTGGCCAGGGGTTGCTGAAGGCAGCCGGCAGTGGGTCAGGAGTGAAGCGAGGGTGTGAACTGAGAGT